CGCTTGGAGAAAAAACGATTTTTCGAATATGGCGGATAGGCGCTTATATGAAGTGATCAAATTTTCCCTTTCCAAACCGGTTGATAAAAGATCTGTATGGTTTAGTCAAAGTTTCAAGTTATTGTCATAGTTCTGCGAAGATCATGTCGTACTAGCGATGTGGTAGAAATGCATGTCATCAAACGCGTTTGAATTGGTCTCAAATTCTCTTCCTCTGCTGAACATTCCTCCAAAAAAATTTCTGAGGATTTGGTAGTCTAAGGCCCGTATGCATGGAAATCACAGCGGCGAGGGGAGCGACGTCCTTAAAGGCAGTGGATCGGCAAAACTTAATAACTCAGAATTTTGACGCGGTAGGTTCCTTATCGCCAAGTATGAAAACAGTGCAATCCCGGTTGCACAGCGTGCCTTCCTTGCCGAAAAAATTGCACTCAGACTCACACGCGCAACCAATCTTACACGCGCCGGACGAGTTGGCAACAGGGTCAAACTTGTGATGCGACTGTCGCAACGGGGGTCGTAAAGAGGGTACCTAAGGTGGGGGGGGTCGTAAGAGGAAGTAGTTAGGCTAAAATACTTTGAACTTAAAAGGGAATCAAAAAGCAGATAATTAGTTATGTTCTTTACAATAAATTTATAAAAAAGTGGAAATCAGAATGCTTGCTAGTGAAGTAAGTAGTATTAATTCGACAACTTTTCTTTTTTCTGGTGGCTCTCCAAAATATCTAATATCTTAAAATTTGAAGCTATCTTCAATTGTTTTTTTTCTGTAGTTTAGCTATCTTCGCGATATACACACCAAAACTGAACCAAAGAATCCCTAATTATTGGAGTTTGAGCACCTTCATCTGTTAACACTAAGTTTTTTGAAGCTCTTTGGAAACTTTTTAAAAGAGCTTTTAGAAGGAGGAGGGAAGATGTTAGGTCATAACATAAGCTTTCTCACTTGTTCGAAAAAATTCTCGTAACTCTTACGAAATATTTTTTCTCATTTTCAAATCATTTACGGATCAAAGTTTTTAGGCATTCGCCTTTATTTCACAAAAAATTCAATAACGTAGGTCAGAAGTACAAGAAAATTTCTAGAAGAAAAAGAAAAAAAATGAAGTTTGGAGTGCCGTCACAAATTGCCTTTATATATATTCACACTGAAAAGATCCGCAAAGGTG